GGATGAAATTAAGTTGATGTTAAAGGGGTAGTGTTTCTCTAAAGCCTTTTTTAGTAAATCCTCAGAATTGCTTTTGGATGAGACAGTCACTGGGAGAGTGACTCCATGTCTCACGGAAAGACTGCCGTCTTCATCGTTACAATTCCAACTTGGACTTTAACTTCTTTTTCAACCCTTTCCGGTTCCTTTTTCAGCCTTTTCACTGCAGATGGCTTAAGATACTCCAAACGATCGTCTCCCTTCCTCGATCGGAATGTTGAGAAGGTTAGGAGCGGCTTTGATCCTGTGGCCGACGTCTTTTGCATGCCATTAGGAGAACCCTTCTCCTTATCCATACTTGAGCTTATCATTTTTCCACATTTATGGCAAAAGATTGCAGCAGTCACACATTTTTTGCCACAAAATAAGCAGAACATCATTAAAAAAGCTCAACTAGAATCTCTTCCTTTCCCGCGCTAAACATAGATGAAGACTGAAGGCGAAGTCGTGCGCCTCGAACTAGGTCTTATCCTTCATGATGCGCATGCACGAATTTTCATTTTTAATTTGCAGCAGCAACATTTTTAATTTGCTTGTGTGACCCTTCTGGGCCATTTTAGATTTGAATGTACTATACTTAATTTGCATGTAAAATTTTTAATTTGCAGCATTATTTTTAATTTGCATGCAAAATTTTTAATTGCAGCATTATTTTTAATTTGCAGGTAATATTTTTAGTTTGTAGCAACATTTTTAATTTGCATGTGTGACCCTTCTGGGCCACCGTAATGTGGGGACTTGGGTGAGGTTTAACATTGGAATGTTATAGGTGGCATTGTAGAACAATTTATAGACAGCATTGAACAATTTATTATTATATTTAAACCTGACATTTTGCACTTAGTAGACTAGTTATTAGATACAAAATAATAGCTTAAGAGGGCAATTTTAAATAGAATTTGTTTGAAAGGCATTGAAAAATTGGTCTGTTGAATAGAACGTTCTATTATTATAAACTGTAAAAACGATAAGTGGATGAATTATATAACTGGAACCAACAATATTCTTGGCTTGCATGTGACATCACATCTGGTATTCCGATTTACTCTCGGCCATGTTCGTGTACAGGAAGCTCATTAGCATATGTCAACTTGCCCCATATGCACTGTATTTTGCGCCACAAAATTTGTATTGAGACCAGCAAAAAAGTTATTCTGGCTCTTAAAAAGGATGAAATAGACCAAAATCTGAAATTAAACTTTCCATTGTGCTATCTGAATATGCACAACATCTGGATAGCCATTTAAGATGTAGATATATTGATAAAATCACTGCAATAGGGGTTGATCCCGCGAATCTTGACACTTCGCTTTCGATTCAGAATGTCTTCCTCCTATCGAAGCCATAGATCTGGTTTCGTACCTAGTCCTAGAAACAAGCTTTTGCATGATGCAGCAGTTCAAGAACTACAAAAGTTTAGAAGCTTACAACCAACTTGTTTCAGGATTCATCACAGATGTGCAAGGCAAAATAATTGATGGTTTGTTTGTTGTTATCTGGAAAGTGAAACATTCTCAAAGAATGAACGATCCACCAGTCCCTATCTGGCTTATTTCAACACGAGAAGGAACAATCTCTTCGGCTCGCTGTTTTGAATGTTTGGCTGGTTTGGGTGAATCGTGCTCATACATCGCAAGCGTACTTTTTATGTCGAGGCGTGGGCATGTTTACATATCAAATTGGCATGTACCCAAGTGAAATGTTTGTGGTTACTACCATGGTACGTTGAGGATGTTCCATATGCAGAGGTAAAGGGCATAAATTTCAAGTCTGCTAGGCGCTTGAAAGCTGAACTTGATCATAAAATAGATGAAGGTCTACTGACTGCTGGAGGAATTACGTGCACAGAAAATGAGGTGCCTGCAAAACCTTGGAAATTACTTCCTACTGTAATTAAAATGAATGAACTTTTCCGCAAGTTAAATGACTGCAAAAACAAACCTGTTATTCTCAGTCTAGTTCCAGAATATTCTGATAGCTTCATATTGAAGAGCCGCATTATTCCTGCTCTGAATGACCTTTTTGACTTAGAAAACACTAGTTGAATTATGTCGATTTGTTGACGAAATGTACTGAACTTGACATCTCTCTTACTGATACGGAGCTGGAAAATTTTGAGAAAGATACCAGAAACCAAGCGCAATCAACTGCTTTTTCCAGGCATACAGCGGGTCAAATTTGTGCTTCTCAAAGTCACAGTCTTTCACACAAATCCTGCTCAACCTTCAGTATCACTTGTGAAATCCATTTGTTACCCTCAACTTTTTAAAGTTAGCACAAAGTCAACTGCATATGGAGGTAAAAATGAAGCCAAGGCAGTTGATGCATATCAAAAGGCAGTATCTGAAAAGCACAAAGATTTTAAAGTCACAAAATGTGGGATCTTAATTCATAAAGAAAAGCCATGACTTCATGCAAACCCTGATTTTCTGTGCACATGCACATGCTGCGGAGATGGTTGTGGCGAAGTCAAGTGCCCCCATAGTCTACGAGATGGAGACTAAGAAGTATGTTGAAAAAAAGTCTTCTTGTTTAAACATGATTGATGGCAGATTGCAATTAAAGAGAAACCGCCAGTACTATTTTCAGGTTCAGCAACAACTATTGATATCTGGACGGGCGGATTGCGACTTTGTAGTTTGTTGTTTTCCCAAAACTGGGCCAATGTTCTTTGTCAAGAGGATAATGCCAGACCCAGTTCATTGGGGTGCTGTTGTGCCTACACTCAGGGGTGTAGCCAGGATTTCTAGGGGGGGGGGTTCCAAATTGGTTCTGATGGACACAGTTCTAAAATCCTTACATTACGTACGTACAAGACTTGGCATTTATGCTACGCAAACAGAAGATGCCTTGGTTGCTGTTGAGCGAACGTGTTTATCACTTCCCCTATATTTATATCTCGGTGGTAATTGATGTTCATCAACACCAGCCTAGATTCTCGCTCGCTTGACATGGTCGACCTCAGGTATGTTTTTAACCTTCTTAGTGTACTGAATGAGCGCTCACATTGAGCTGACGTTATCGGCAACGTGCACAAAATGCGGATCAAGGTGTGGATGTTAGAAAAAAACTCTCGATGGCATGCTGCCAGTGTCTCAACTGCACTGGTGGGAAGGTCGGCATCCTCAGTGCTACACCACTATCTCTTCCATCGCAGGAGCTCAACATCAACCATACGAGGAGAAGGAAGGTTGTTCTCGTAAAACTCTAGCGCTGCTCCAATGTCAGGATTTGTCTCTGACGGCTACCAGCTCAGGAAGAAGATTAAAGAGGCTGGACAAGACAGCATCATTAGTAGGATGGAAGTATGTTTTCATCTCTGATTGTAGATGGTCTAGAAGGGTAATAGCAACTGCCCTCTTGTAGAAATCAGCTGGTGTCTGGGCTGGTACATTGTCGCGATGCTGCTGCTGATTAGTTCGGCGTGGTATGGAAGGCACAACCTCGACATTTGCTGCGGTAGTGACCGCCAGATCAAACCACTCCTTTCATCGTCATATCTGCTCTGGGGTATATACAGTTCGTCTTGTTTTGAAATCTCGCGAACGAGTACGAGAAACAACCATACATCTCTATATTCTGAGATGCGGGAAATGAGACGATGACATATTTCTAAGGATGGGATGTCTTCAAAACCTAAGATGGCATGTAACAAGACACGTGCCCGACCCGTTTTGGCGCAGGGATGAGTATCGAATTTACAGATTTCGTGAGGACACTGATAGGTCTGATAATACAGTTCACGGGGATACGAATCTGCCAGCTCTTTACCGCACTCCGTCGAGACACAAATGACTACACACGATTCTGTGCAAACACGTTTATTACAAAATTGTACTAAGAATTTTAATGCATGATTTTTTTAATGTCTCTCTCACTCGTTGTTCTCCTCCTCTTCGTCTTGCTCTTTAGCGAAGCTCACTTTCTTTATTTTCTCTTCTAGCTTGTGCTCAACAATTAAACGCAGTAACTTGCGTAGACTCATGATCGTGTCCGTCTTTGCTTGACGGTTCTTTTGGTGCCCGTAAAATGGTTCATCTGGCTTGAACACGTACTTTTCTTGAATAGAATTCAAGATTGTAATCTCTTCGATGCTCTCGTCTACCATAAAAGTATCGCACATGGTGTCGACCAGATAGAATAGTTTTTCTTGCTTCATCAACACCTTAAGTTTCTTTTCACACGCCATTTCAGGTCTTCTTTGTTCGGAACAAGCAGAGTGAGAGGGCGTCTCATGGCTGAGCTTCCTTTCATATATACATCTTTAACCAATCATGACTCTTTTTTTGTGACACGTGTGTTGAGGGCTTTTACCATTCGCTTGGACGAATTAACGAAAGGTACCAAGACAAATACTTTTCTTTTATTCTCTTCTCTTCTATTGTTGTTACTACCTTCTACTACCACAGCTATTTCTCTTCTAACTTCAGCAAGGAGTGCCCTCTCACTTAATGTAAAAATCACAGGCATGTTTGGGTTAGCCGACCATGGGAATTTCCAAAACAGGATATTCAGTGTGGGTAAAACTCAAGGTCAGTTTTACCAACCCAAACATGACCACCTAGCAAACTAGTTATCCTCAACCCTAACAAGTGATTAAAATGTCTAGCATGGTAAGAACTGAGCCAAGTTCAAGCACACACTAAAAATAGATGATCAAAACTATAGATCTACCAAAATAGCACGTAGGGGCGAAAAGGCGAGACTTAATAAAACACAAGGGGAAGCTAAAAAATACTTGAAATATCAATCCTTGGAAATGCTCTACAACATTCCTCCCCGCCTAAATTAAGCATCATCCTCGATGCGGACGGTAGGGAAAGATTACATGGAAAACTTAACTCATCTAATACAAAATAATTAATTTTTGTTGTGGTTTGTTTTCTCTTTTTTTTTTTTTTTTAAATTAATTTAATTTAGACCTATCAGTCTGGTTGCAACCCAGTCAAACGGTTGTTAACTAACTGCCTAAAGTGGTCTGTGTTATCTGCTAATAACAGATCATCAAAATCGAAAATTGCCTCGTACTCGCGCGACGTGTGAACTCAAAGGCTACGGGCTACTGAAAGGTAATTCCTCACTTTCAAAGTGAACATTACTGCTCAAAGCTGATTTTCTTCGTACAAGGGGTAAAAATTATCAGAAATGGGGCCCGAAAGACATGAGTTAAGAACTGTTCGCGAACCATGAAGTATTGGCTGATATTTACAAACTCAACTAGGTCATCAGTGTCCCAATCAATGGCACGTCCGCGGCCGGAAAAGAAACTTAAAAATAAATCGAATGTCTGCCATGAAAAATATTGGTTTACATGAAATACGGGAGTGACCTGTTCTAGGGGCTGACTCTCACATCGATGTTTAAAGGTTGCGAACAACCTGCTAACCCACGCTAGCTGGATGGCAGTTAATTCATCTAATATTCGGGAAAAATCAACCAAAAGTTAAAGTTATTATATAATTCATTATCGAAATAGAAATAGTTTAGTTCAGTTCAGTTCCTTGAATGACTAGTGTTGGATAATCTTCACTTCTTTTCTCTCCGGGTTTGTGTGTTGTACGACTTTCTTCTGCGGATGTTGTTTTCAGTCGGTTGATCCTTCTGCGCTTTGAACAATGTGTGCAATTTTTATGTTGGTGACTCTCTGCAACTGCTGTTGGCAAGGTAGGTGGACTGGCTGGTGTGGAGTGTCGCACAGATATTCTGGAGATGCACCGGCAAAGAATACAGAACAATGAAATATACCACTGATAGACCAAGTGCAACTAAAGCAATATATTTGATGTAAGTGAACTGAGTAGTTTCGTCTATCTGATCAATCAAAACTGTCTGCAAAGTGCCACTGGAACAACTCGTCGATCACTGTATGATTAATCTTGATAGGTGGTGGGATGGTCAGTGACTTATGATGTAACTCCAATGTAGGAAAATCATCTTAGTTGGGATCCCACTGAACATATGAAAGTGTGTCTGTTGGAAATAAAGGTAATGATACCATTAGTCTTTAGGGACAAGTGCCCAAACTAGTCTCCATGCCAATGAAGTTAACGTTGCAAGGTAAGTTATAGATGGCCAATGGAGAAATGTTAAGTTGCTCGGCATTGCTCAAAGCCAAAGTTCCAGAAGTGGTGGAGAGAAAATATCTGCCTCCAAGATGAGCCAATGGGTGGATATGGTCGTACTTCGAAGTAGGTTGATGGTTTAAAACTCTTTGTATAGAATTACACAGTTACTGGTGAACCAGTAGTTTCCATTGTGGTCCTTGCAAACAAATGAAACAAATGGTCTAAATTGAACATAACATCATAACATCATCACATCATAAGAACCCCAACTGGCCAGAGGCAAACCAGTTGGCTATTTACAAGGGTGGCCAAGGATCTGAACTCGGGGCTACCGTGAAACAAATCCAGTGGTCAGGGTGGGACTCGAACCCGGGAGCGGCGGATTACGAGTCCGACACTCTAACCACTCGGCCACACTGCCTCCACACATGGTTTCGCGGGAAAGAAAGTTTCAGGTCTGGATTGCAAGCAAAACCTAACCATTGCAAGCTAGAAACTATCTTTAATACATTTTTAGGGCATAAGAAACGTACTTGACTTCTAAAACACCTATCTAATCCATCTAAAGAGACTACCTGCCTTGCATTTGGACAATTAATTAAAGCGAGGTGTTTGTGTTGGACAGGCCCTGAAAAACATTTTCCCGAAATATTAAACTTAAGTGGAGTCAAATGTTGTACGACGCAGAACCTGTCTTTATCTGCAATCTCTGGTGCTAACAATAAAATATCGACAGTTAAATCCTGACCGCTGTGTTCGACATTGACCATTGGGCTAGCCAGAACAGACAAACCTTGTTCCAATGCTGTTATAGTCAACCTCAATGGATGATCAGCAGAAAGTTTGGCAGACAAGTGGGAAGACATAAACTTAGGTAAATCAGAATAGCCTACTAATGATTTTTCATGTAGATGGTATATCTGACTCAAGGTATCTTGGATTTCAAAAAGTCTTAGAAATGTGGTAAAAGCACGATTAATTTCGGCAGTATACTTAGAGAGAAACTGAATTGTCATTCCTTCGCGGCATTTGGCTGAATTGGCAAATTTTTTAGCTGTTTCTGCCAGTCATTAAAGGTACTTTGGACCATTTTTAAATCCTGAGACAAAAAGTTTAGTTTGCTGTTCATCTGATCAGTAATTTTGAAAAAAAAAAACAATCTTTCCGTCGAGAACTCGCATCATAGCTTGCGAAATAGACATAGCGTAAGTCAGAGCTCTCAGAGTGGCTTTAAGGCTCTTAACATGGTTGTCTTGAGATTTGTGTCCTGTCCCAGTCCAAATTGCACGAAAAATACCTAGAACACCTGCGTGACACATCCAATTCGAACGTCGCGTGCGACTCTGTCCTCATAACCACTGTCTTTCGTCAACTGACAGACCGCGACAGAACTTTAACGCCTAAGTTTTGCATTCAGAAATGGAGCTCTTATAGACACAACATTCTCGAGACTTTTTTCCTACCATAAACTGGTAATACCTTGGCGAATATGTGTCGCACTCCATTAGGGTTGAAAAGCCTGGCAAAGAAAGAAGTCGCCGAATGACCTTTTCGAAGCCTCAAATTGTCAGGAGTAATTGATCAAAAAACTTTCCTGTAGGGGCAGAACAGGATGTATTTCTCATAGAAAAAGTACTCTCCATTTCGGTAAAATTAAAGACTGTGTGAGTATTCAAAAACTTTGTCTCAGTATAAGGGGTAAGCGGTTTAGGGGAATGAGCAATCATTAACGGGGCGGGGTAAAATTCTACTTTCTGCATGGGGGAGTCAAAATTTTGAGCATGTGTCACACAAAACTGAACAATAACAAAGGCAATATGAGATAAAGCAATGATCAGGACGCGAGCCTGGAATCCATTTACCCAAAATCTTTTAATTTGATATAAAAACAAAAATCTTTGTATACAGTCTTAGAGTTCCTGGAGGATAACAAAAATAGGAATGAGTTGACTACAAGAGAATTAATTCGTGTTGCAGCAGTAGCAGCAACAACCTCCTTATCAACAGCAAGGTGGCCACTAACCAAGACAACAATATTAATCCTCATCAACGACAAAAACTCCCTAATTCAATTTGAAAACAGAAAATCTTTGCCTATGATTCTGAAATTTCTGGAGAAGAACAAAATAGAAATAAATTGATTACGTGGGAGCTAGTTCTTCGAATTGTTAAAATTATCAACAAGTCGTCTATCTAAAATAATTTCTTCCGGTTCCCAAGTAGACTGATTTCTGGGAAAGTTATGCCACTTAACTAGGTATTCCATTTTGCCTTTCTTTTTACGAGATTTAAGAATTCGTTCCGCTTGAAAAATTCTGTCGTTGCTTTCTCTGAGGAATCCGAACAAGGCTGGACCTGATTGTCTGAATGTGAACTTGAATTAGTAGTATCTGAAACTGGCGGTTTAGGACTAACATTCTTATTGAGAAGAACCTCTGACTCAAAACAGTCATCTGGAATATCAGACTCATCCAGATAAGGCTCACTAGGGTCATCCACTAGTGGAGGTTCAATTGGTCGTAAAGATGGATCGATAAATGGCTTCATTCGATTTGCATGCACGGCAAAGGTAACTTTCTTATTAGTATCAGTGCGGAAATGAAAATGAACGGGAGATGATTGCTCCACTATCCTGTATGGTCCTAACCAATTGTGCAAAAGTTTCCTAGATAAACCCTTTTTAACTCGTGAATTGTGCGTGCGCAAGAGTGAGTTGTAGGTACGATGTGATGAATGGCGCTTGCTCGCTCGATTAGTCGATTCCTGTAAACTTTTCTCTATTTTAGGCTTTTGAATGCATTTGATAGTTTTTGGCGAGTGATAAACAAGCGAAATGGCGACCTTTGTTGCTAAGAATAGTGTTGGCGTGAAAAAGAAGCCAATGATAATCTTGAAGGAGTAAAAAAGTATACGTTTTTCATTTGTGAATTAATTAAAGTTTGCCCAATCTCCGAATACACTTTTATCTTTTGCAGTGTATATTTCATTTATGGCATAAATACTTCTATTTTTAAATGTACACATCCAGGAAAATGATTATTGTGTCTAAAAAAGAAAAAAAAAGAAAATAAAGAAGGAAAGGTAAGCCAAACTCAGAATATAGATGAGAACGTCGCAGTTGAACCACCTACGTTGCTACCATAGACGTTTTTTTTAGATAGACGTTTATTGAGAAGAATACCTTAATAGCAGCTGGAAGCTGAATTGCAAAGGTGTACAAATTATGTAATAGAACTATACAATAAAATCAAACCTAAAACCTGAGAATGTCAGCTACCGCATTGCTTTTAACCATAAGGCCACTGAAACAGCTTGTTACCCTGGGGCGAAACTTTATCTAGATACAAATTTTACATTTAAAACGCTGGTCTTTTGGTAATTTCAACCGCGGGCTCAAATAACTCGAGTTGCTGCTCGCCGATAGTCCGATTTTGAAGTGTTGCTCACGGCCAACTGCTCGTAAAGCGACTTGTTTGAGGCTTGTTTGGTATTCCTGGAGCTGTATCGACGTTGGAAAGTGGTTCACAAGTGGGAACTGCAGTGAAAGAAGCTTAAGCATAAGTTCAATCAATCGATATGCTGTTTCTTCAATGGTGTAACTCGCACTGCACTGTTACGTTAGTATGTTTCCAGATAGGTTGAATTAAGGTTTTTTTTCATAAAAATGCGTCCTGGAGTAAGGAACAGGAAGTTTTAAATATGGCAATTGATATCACTCAAAATGAGGGTGATTATCAGTTCTCAGAACAAGGAATATCCACTGACAGTGAGTGACAAATACTGCCCAAATCTGATAACGGAGGGCTTACCTTATTAGGTGACTAAAGTTTCTCAGAGTAAGACCTATTTTTTTCAAAATGAGTAAGTAAAGATCTCAAAAGAAAGCACTTCTCAAAGATTGTTAAATAATACATCATCCCTTTGTCCTTGAGACAAAGATCTTAACTCCAGGAAGTGGTTCTTTCTATCAATATTTTGTGCATGTAACACAGGTTAGCCAGGCCATATTACAAACTCAACAAAAACTTTTAATCTGACATTAATAAACCCAAATTGTGCTTTCTTTAAAATGTTTTACATTATTTGAACTTAAGATACCTGCACAGCAGCATGTTTTATTTTGAAGCAAGACTTTAAGTTACACCTCGCTTCATTTGATGTATATCAAATTAACAGCAAAGTGACATGGCTTTATACCTAACACCAACTCTTCAAGAAATGGCACAGCTACATGTTAACTTAATATGCTGAAATTTTAACTCTTAAATAAAAATCTTTATGCAGATTCACCAATACTAAAATAAACAGTATATAGCGGCTTCATGATAAACACAAATTCCTCAAGGAATAGGTATAGTAGCCTTTCCTTTGAATCATACTGAAGATTACTCTTTCTCTTTGTCAAAAATCTTGCCACAGATTTGCCTGTACCTAAATGCTGATCGTAGAGGCTTTACACCTAGGACATATTCTTCAAGAAATTGATACAGTAACTTTTCTTTTGAATCATACTCAAGATTAAAACAATAAGTTGACAGTCACAACAACAATCCCTTTACAAGGATGAATATCCTTGCTGGTGTATGACTAGAATTACTTCTGTCAACAAGTGGTTTATATTTAGTTTGAGATTCTTTACTCTGGTTCAGTAATTTTTTGTATAATAATCACATGATTGTAAGTAAAAATTACAAATGGTAGCAGTTTACATTCCATGCTTATTTTTCTGGAAGTTACAAATTTAGGATTTATTTTGTCAACCACTTTGTCATTTAAAATTAAAAGTCTTTGTGAATTAGATGCAACAAGGATATTCCTAATAATTTAGGGTAAACTAGCAGCACTCAAAACTGTGGTCTTGTTTCATGAAGAATCACAGATATTGAGTGTGTTGAAAGAAAAATGTATTACTAAATCTTTGTTAATATGAAAGAAAAATCAATGTAAAAATTTTTTTCAACTTATATATAGTTCTATTTCCTTGGGAATTTGACATGCACAATTCCACAGATATTTTGAAATTTTGGCAAGGATTTATCAGAAATCTAGTTGGAAGAACCTTTCTACATAAACGAATACTTGAGATATTTATTCAATAGTGGAAGTATCCTTAAAATGAGGATTCAAAGTCATAATTCTTAAAACAAGGAATGTAAATCTTATTTTTAATGGTGGTATTCTTAAACGGAGAAACTTTCATAGGAGAGTATAAAATTCTTATAAGCAGATATCTTGATCCTTACATTT